GCTACCACCGGTCACCTCCTCCTGTTCAGCTCCAGCTGGTAACATCTCGGCTGTGTTTCCTTCCAGGGCGGTGGAGATCCTGAGGACGGCGTCGCTCTCCAATCACATGTCGCTGCTGGTCGCCAGAGACGACGAGTCCAGGTAAAGAGATGCTTTTATTGTGAAATAACCAACTTCAGTCTTTAACCCTTTTCTTGAAAGGTTCTGGATGGTTCCAGTCAGGACCTCAGGTGGTTAATGACGATCCAGACGTGAGGAGGTGTCTCCAGCAGCTCCATGTCGTCGTGCTGCTCAAGGTCACGTGGATGGAAGCTGAACAAACAGCAGCAGGATTATTCTCCTCTTTAAATTCAGGTGTTCACGTCTTCTGGAGAATCGTGACAATGAGCCGCTAAGCTCCTTAGAGTCCCTCAGCCAGGCTTCAAAAGAGGCTCTTTACAGAGATGGAATCTGCTCTTGTTCTCCGGAGCCGCTGATGTTTTCCAGACGGGCAGGTGTTCCTACCTGCAGCACAGAAACCATCACGTCAGCGCTCTGATCCGTGTGACGGCCCGCGGGCTCACCGACCTGGCACTGCCCTGTGCTGCTCCACGTCAACACAAACCCAGACTGACACAATAGGGACAGTGCTGCCCGTCCACCGGGTCTGGAGCAGAGCTGAGCCCGTCAGACAGCACCGAGATCAGCAGAAAGCAGCGAGCTGCTGCTGCTGCAGAGCGTTACGTCAGAGAGCAGCAGGTGTTCTCCAATGTGACCAGAAGAAGGACAAGGCTGAGAGCTGCTCGACGTCGTCTGAAGAAGTTCTGGAGGTGAATGAACAGCACCGACTGGACACGGAGCCGAAACAGAACACTGTGTCACGTCAAAGTGGAGCTGATTTCTATAAAGTCACGTCAGTTAATTAAAAATTAACAAAGCAAAATAAATGATTCCATCAGGTTCTCCTCCTCCAGTCGGGTCCAGTAGAACCTTCAGCTCCATCACTGGTCCTGGTGGTCTCCATCAGTCTGAACATCTGGACGCTGCAGCTTCACCTCATTCTGATGAACCTGTTCAGACTCTGTCAGGTTCTACAGGGATCATGAGGGAACAGAACTGTTCAGGTCCAGACTCTGTGCTTCACATCGTGCTTCACATCGTGATGCTGCTCGTCTCCTTCTAGTACCTCCTTCAGAGGAGTCACAGGAGTCCTGGTGGCCTCCTTCACTCGTCTCCTTCTCGCTCAGTCACTCAGTCTCTGAGGACGTCCTGCTCCAGTCACATCTACTCATGTTCCATGTTCCCTCCATCTCTTAATAATGGATCTAACAGGGCTGCAGGTGTCTCTGTGGTTAGCACCGTTAGCATCATTAGCACCATTAGCACCGTTAGCACCATTAGCCGCAGCTAGAAGGTCACCGGTTCACGTCCCGGTGAGGACACCCAGGATCTTACTGCGTGGAGTCTCCATGTTCTTCCCGTGCAGCGTGGGTTCTCTCCGGGTTCTCCGGCTTCCTCCCACAGTCCAGAAACATGCTGAGGTTAATTGGTGATTGTAAATTGTC